GTGGTGGCGTGGGCACCCCCGTGTCCCCCCGCTGACAGCCGGTTGCTAGGAGGTAACGTCACCGTCACGGGGTCTCGCTGCTGGGGACAGCCCACGGCCCCGTCCCCAGCACTCATCCGTGGGACCGGGTAAGGAAACCCCTGGGCTCACAAGGATGGGAGCCGCGTGGGTGTAAATTCAGGAACTGTGGGGTGCGTCTGGGGCATCCGTGCCTTGGCGCTGAGCAGAGCCAGACCACAAAGCCGGGGGTCCACACCGGGAAAGCCGGGGCAAAAGCCCACCCACTGGGGGAAACACAGGTTTGCTGACCACGTTGCAGGGCTGGGAGAAACTAAACCCAGTGGCATTTCCAAAGCCAGAAGCTGTCATCCAAATCCAAGGTCACCGGTAAAACTGATAACGGTTATGGGTTGCAAGGGATCCCAAATAATCCCAGGTTTTGTTTCCCTTTTCCAGGCAGGACGCAATGGAGCCTTTTTCTCTCTCTGACCTGGGGCTCCTAACAGAAAACAAAGCCATTGAAAGGGTCCTCTGCCCCATGGCTGCGCAGCTCTGCCATCTAATCCTCGCCCTGGAATGGGAAGATGGGATTTGTCAGGCCTTTCCCAATCTAGGGGAGAATGCAGAAAAATTAACCAAAGCCACAGAAGAACTCGCTTCTGTTGCAAGAAGGTAAGTTTGGGGGGTGGCTCCAGGGCAGATTTGGGGGCTGGGAAGGAGGAGGAAGGGATGGCAAAGGAACTGGCAGGGAGCCTGCCTTCTCCTGCCTGGTGCTCCCTGCCTGCAGCCCGCTAACGTGAGGAGGAAGGGATGGGGAATGTGAGGGGGGGAATAGGATTAAGAAGGGAAAAGGACGGATGGGACAAAGCAGGGGTATGTGCTTGGAAGGGATGCGGCAAAGCAAGCAAAACCTCAACAAGCAACGTTTAAGCTTAAAGCAAAGTTTAAGCTTTAAGCAACGTTTAACACATCTTAAAATAATAGTCAGATAATTGACCGAATGCTTCAGTAACCTGTGGCTCAAACCCAGAGATTAGACACCCTATCTTCACGTGAATCACAGCCACTGCAAAAGGCTCTGAAACAGTCTGCAAATATAGCTAAAATCAGTTCAAGCCCAGTTAAGGTCTGGCGTGGCTAATTGTTGTGATAGAGCCTGCGACCGGCACGGCATCCTTGCCGCCACCCGCCGAGGCTGGTACTCACAGGACAGCGAGGAGCTGAGCCCGGCGGCTTCTGTTCCAGGTTGGCCGAGGAGTCCAGCGATGAGGTGGTCAAGGAGGAGACGCGTCCTGCAGCCGAGTCCCTCGTCCTGGCAGGGAGGTGCGTGCTGCTGGCAGCCCACAAGCTCCAGGTACAGCCAGAGAACCCTAACCACAGGGAGGAGCTGGCTGCAGCAGCAAAGAGGGTCTTAACGGAGACAGTGAAGGTAAGGGCAGAGGGGGACAGCGCCAGAGCCAGCAGGGGAGGAGGTCTGGCTGGGACGAAGCGGTGGGTAAGGGTGCAGCTGTAGGAGGGACAAGAGCTGCCCTCCACCAGGACAGGACCTGGGGCTAGGGGAAGCTCTAGCTGGAGCAATGGTGGTTTCTTCACCACGTGCTCGCTAGGGCAGGCCTGCTGAGCAGAACTCACCCCTTCTCTTCCCTACAAGGGCTGGGGTGTCATCTTGGCTGCGCAAGAGATGAAATAGTGAACAGGGATTCTTGAGCCTTAGCCACTCCGACCAATTTTTCTGCCTTTTTTTCCTGGTTAGATCCTTCAGATCGAAGATGCTGCTGGGACGAGGAGGATAATTGAGGCTGCCAGCTGGCTTTTGGAGTGCCTGGGCGTACTGCGCGATGCAGGGGACATGCCAGGACTGCTGGCTGCTTTCCGGGCCTTTTCCAAGGCCTTGCTTCTGCTGAGCAATCTGACAGCAAAGCACCTCGAGGAACTCAGAGCTTGTCCTCGACAGAAGAGCTTGGCCCAAACTTTGCAGCTCCTTCAGAAGTGCATTCCGTTGCTCCTTGCAGCCAAGCAGAGCGATCTGAAACGCTCCTGGGATTGGCAAGTCAACCTCTCCAAAGACTATGCTTTCCAGCTGACGGAGAGGACCATCAAAGAGCTCACTTCCCTGGTCGTGCGCAACACAGGCAGCAAGGAGCCACGGGACAGAAACGGGGCCTTCTCCCAGCACACAAGCAGGCTGCTGGCTCTCCTCTCTTGCCCAGACCCAGCATACCTCTCCGACAGCGAGTTCAGTGCTCACGTGGAAGCGGTCATTTTCTACTGCATGCTTCTAGCGGACTCGTCCAGGCCAGATCTGAAGCTGGACCTGGTAAAACATTGCTGGGTTCTGCTACGGCTGAGGCAGAGCATCTGCAGCCACATAAGCCAGCAGGAGGAACAGCCAGGACAAAGCTGGGGAGGAAGCAGCCTGGAGAAGAAATGTCACACCATGAGAGAGGAGGTGGAGGCTCTCGACCAGGCAGTGCTCACAGCTACTCTGTGCCAAATCTTCAACACTTTCTTTGAGGGTAAGGAGCCCCTGAGGCCTTTAGTTGAAGATGCCCTTAGCCTTGCTGGTACAGGGTGTTTTCCAGCAGGACAAGGAGGATTTTTAAAAACGCTTCAGCCCCGCACTGCCACTTTCTTCACACATGCTCAGCAGATGCTCAGAGTGGCAGACTTTGTTCTGGCCAGGTGCACCAAAACCCAAACTGCGAGAGAAATCGGAGAGCGGGTAGAGTATTTGAAGAGACTCCTTGCCAGTCTCCCTCCACTGCTCACAGAAATGAGCACAAATGCAGAAATGCTCAGCGCTGCTGAGCAACTGCAGTCCCTGCACCACGCGTGGGCTGGAACAACAGAAAGCCTCTTGCAGTGTTTTGAGGAGACAGTCAGCATGCATGAATTCCTTAAGCTGTCCATCCGGGAAATGGCCAAGCACAGGGAATGGTGTGAAAAGGCCCTGGGAAGTCAGGACCCCGAGAGGCTCTCTTGGCACGCAACTCGCCTCACCGTTTGGGCTCGGTGGGTGGTTGAAGCTACCACCAGGTACGTGGACAGAGCCACAGACCCCATTTTCAGGAATGGCTTGCTGGTTTGGGTTGAGCAACTGGCCAACTGCATCCTTGAGCTGAAAGCGGCCACAACCCTTTGTGCAGAGAGACTCTCCTGCCTCCAAACCAGGGATGTCTTTTCAAAGGCAGCGAACTGCCTGATGGATACCACTCGCCGTGTCCAAGACGGGCTGGATGGCTCCAACCACCCAGATATCCTCAGCCCTCTCCGGACACAAGTGCGAAGCACCGATGCCGCAAAGGCGCGTGAACCCAGCCTGTCGCACACCGGGCTAAAAACCGTTACTGATGGAGCTGCGTCGCAAGAAGGCATCTTAAGTCGTCCGTCTCCAGGAGCAGGTAACTTACACTCGGATATCGTTCCAAGGAAAGGAGATACGCACCCTGTCATTATGGCTCTCCTAGCAGCAACAAGAGCCCACGATCCAGCAGCTGTCAATGCTGCTTGCTCCGCCTTGCTTGAACTCTCCAACGGCTGTATCGATGCGGCAAAGGAAGCGCTGCCCGTTGCAGAGTCTCCCCAGACGGAGATGCTGGGGCAGTACCAGAGGATTGTATTACTGACACCATGTGTTATTAGCCTGGCCAGGGAAACAGCCCCAGGGCAGCTTCGTCATCCAAGCAGACTTCTCCACATGGCGCTCACCCTCTCAGATAGGATCTGTGAGACCAAAGAGTGCCTGGCAGCCGTGGCAGGCTCTTGGTATAGTCTGTCTCAGCAAGTATTTGGCTTTATCTTGTCTGCTGACTTTCTGAGAGGCAAACAGGCTCTGGACGAGACCATGATGGGTTTAGCAGGAGCAGTTCAGTTAGCAGGAGACATTGCAAGCATAGCCTGTAGTAAGGGAAATCCCATTTTCCCTGATGCCTGGGAGAGCTTTCTGCAGGTCCAAGCCAAGTTTTCCCGTGCTCAGAGGAACACCAAAGTGTTGCTTGAGAAAGCAGCGTCCTTTGAGGGCTCCTGCAGGCTGGGAAAGGCCAGCCTGGAGCTGCACTGTGTCCAGTGGGCCATCAGCATGCACGTCCTGCTGGCTGCCGTGGATCAGTTCATAGGCAGGGATGTCCTGTTCCTGAGGGAGCTGAGGAGCGCTGTGAGGAAAAAGCTTTGCCCACAGAGCCTCTTGGCTGCTGTGTCCGAGAATTCCTTGAGGCTGCAGGAGGCCGCCCGGCTCTCTTACTTGTCCTGCCCTGAAGACCGTGGCCGCAGTGAAATCCTAGTGCTCAGGGAGGAGATAAAGGTGCTAATGGAAGCACTGCTGGATGCCTCCAACACCCTCTTGGTCTCCCCACTGTCTTCTGCCAGCTTGCACATTCGCTTTGAGCTCCTGCAGAGAGACTTGGCCCTCAGGGCTAAGGCACTGTTGCTCCACCTGGAGGAGGTCAATAGTGAACACCTACGGGCCATCAGAGATGTCATCAGACTGGCCCTGTCCCCGCTCTCTCAAGAGGAGGGGGAGAGGAGCAAAGGGGCCTTTGAAGAGCAGGCAAGTCAGCTAATGGCTAACGTTCAGTGGGTCAGAACCACCCTCCAAGAGGTCCTGGAGGCCAGCGCTCAACTGCAGTCACAGGTGAACCTGCTCTCCGTCGCAGACCACCTCCTGGTCCTCACGTCCGACGCGGTGGGCAGTGCCAACCAGCTCTTCCAGGGCCACCAGGACAAAGTGCTTCTCCGCCTAGACAGCACTGCCTGGTACTGGGCAGCAAACGCGCACTACCTCGTCACGCAGCTTCGGGCTGTCCAGGGCATCAGTGGACACGTCCTGGGGCTCATCAGGCAACGCTTACAGAACACAGGGGACCAGCGTTCTCCAAGACAACACCACAGCACAGCCAAGCTCTTCCCAGCCCGAGAGCTTGATGCTCTGAGCCACACCAAGTCAGCAGAAAGTTGGCCAAGCAGGAGCAGACGAGCGAGCGGAGCTGCCAGGGAGGCATGTGAAATGGTACAGTAGCTTTTTTCCCCCCCTGTCAACACTTACTGCAGGGTGATGGTCAGGGCTGTCAGTCGGTCCCATTACCCACACCACGGAGCATTAAGATAAGCGACGCTGGCAGGCACCTCGGGAGGTCAATAGTCCAACCCCCTGGCCACCTTCAAAGCTAGATCAGGTTGCTGGCCGCCCTATTCAACCGAGTTCTGGATATCTGATCTATCGGACACTCTTGCATAAATAAACCCATCCCCATAACGCTGTTTCTGAGGAGCAGAGGGCTGTACTGCTCTCCCTCCCCTGTCTCTGCTCAGCTCCTCACCTCCCCACAACCGCCCTTCGGGAGTACCAGCACCTCCACTCCCACAACAACTGCTGTCGGTTGTCAGGAGCTGGCAAAGGCTTCAGCAGCACAATCCAGACCACTCAGCGAAGTGGTTTACAGCACTTAATCGTACCTCTCAACTCAGCTCACGTGACAGCTACCACCCATTTGGAGATAGCTCCAGGAGACAATGGCACGGGGCATTCGGATTCGATAGTCCCGCTGTGGGTGAGGGCAGGGGGGAGAGGGGCTGGTTGGGAAGGCAGAGCAGACCCACAGGCAGCTCTCCTGTCTCCTTTACTCACCAAAAACTGCTTCAGAAATGCACAGGCGGAGACTTTTCAGCATCGGCGCGTCTGCACGCTCCAGACTTCAAATCCGTTCAGTTATTGTCTCGACAGCGCCAGAATGGTCCTCCCAGCATCTCCTGTGCCAGCAGCCCTGCGAAGCATGAGAGAGAGGACAGCGACACGTGGCAGGGTGGCCCCAGCAAGATATGCCAGGTCACCAAGGACATGGCAACAAGGATGCTTCACATGACTCAGTTCCTGAGGAAGAAGGGCCCCATCACGGTATGGAGTGTTTCACCCCCTCCACCCCAGCACTTCAATAGGCGTAAAAAAAATTTTTTTTTCCTCAAGAACGTGGTAAAATCCAGTGACAGGGCTGCCTGGCGCCTGCTGAAACCTCTGCATTACCCCGCTCTTGTAAGAGTGGCACCAGCTGCGTTTGTCCAAAGCACAATAAATTACCTCCTCCTGATGAGACGTGACCCTAGCATCCAGTCCTTCCCTTGTTTCAGGATATATCTGGGCTTCCTGGACACTCCCCTGCCTTGCAGGTAAAGTGGTTTTTCTTCTCTCCCCAACCACATTTATTTCTCTTTTGCTTTAGAGCAAGGACCAGCTTGTCACCTGCGCAAGGCAAATTGCTTCCGATGGGCGGGTGTTTGTTAAATTTGGCCGCATCATTGCAAAGCACTGCCTCGACAAGAGATGCTCCGCAGAGCTGCTGTGCGCCGCAGAGCAGACCCACACCATCAGCAGCCAGCTCGGCATCATGGCCAGGTGAGTTGCCGGGGCCAAGGACAATCTCTCCTGAGGCCGGTGGCCCCCTTCTCAGAGAGGCGTGCAGGGTGGTGTCCTGAGGTCCTTGCTGGATCTGGGTGCAGCCCTTAGAGGGCTACAATTCAAACCCTTAGAGGGTTACAGTTCAGTGGGCTCCCTCTCCTCTTCCTGTTGCTGCAACCAGTCCTTTCCTCCCCTGCTTTGCCTGCCTCTATGGAAACCTGCTCTGACAGCGCAGGGGACAATCTCCTGGTTTTGGAGTAGCTGACGGAGTCCTGGCCACACAGGGGAGGCACACTGTCTGATGCTCTGCCAGTAAAATCCTTTAAAATGTCTTTTAAGGGTAAAAGCAGTCACTGCAGAGAGCAAGTCCTCTTCCGAGCTGCTCGTGAGCAACGCACAGAACCTAATTCAAGCGGTTTTGCATGTTCTGAAGGCAGCCGAGGCAGCATGTATCAAAGTAAGTTCACGCTGATGGCATCCAATAGGTTTTGCAAGGTGGAGTCCACGCTGTGGGCAGCTCTGGCAGCCGAGTCTGGTTATGGGAGGTGGGAGCCGGCTGCCGCGGGACCTCTGTCAACTCCAGCTGGAGGTGAACATTCTTACTGCGACGTTTTTATTTTATGCCTTTCTGTCTTGTTTCCAAAGCCCACTATGCATCTTTCCAGGCATTGAACCTGCTCTGTCACTGCTACCAGCTCTGAAGTCATCTTTAGCTGGTCCGTTTCCCGTTCCATCTTTGGATAGGAGAGCGGCAGCATCTCGTTGGAGGCCTTTATTTGGAAATAGTCCGTGTCCGCCTTAGCCTTTATGTGGTTGCAAGATGAGCTTTGATCAGAACTCCCCAAGGACAGCCAATTGATCCAGCTGTAAATCCTTTGTGAGAGCAGACTTTCATCTGAAAGCACTCAGAAAACAAGCGCAAATACAGGCAGGCTCTCCACTGACGCAGTTGTTCATCGTGTGCCTTAGCCTCCTACGTAATCCTACAACTTTTGCTGAGCGCATCTTTTTGAAAGAGACGGTTTTGATTAGAATCCTGTTTGATGGAGAATCAGCCAGGAGCGTGGTCAACCTCCCCCTGTGGTTAATTGCCCATTCTACAATGCACATACTACATTTGTCCGTTTTTTACTTTGCTGGCCGCAGCCTGAAGTAACTAGCCGTTCTTTTATCTTGACTGTCTAGACTACAAAGTCCTTTATGACCTGGCTTTTTCCCTTCGGAAATTTCCCTGCTTATCAACCAACTAACTAGACCGTATTCCTTTTCTCTCTCTGTAAGCAGGTTTTTTAAGCACTTTCAAGCATTTTTTAAGCATTAACAGGTAGAGATGCCACATTGGTCACACACACATTGATACATTCAGATCTTTATATCATTTAAGATATTTTAAACGAGTTCATGCACAACAATGTATTAAAGCACGCAAATATTTTGTCCCCTCCCGACAGGGTTTGCGACAGCCCCCACCTGACTCTGAAGAAGAAGAAGTAGCTGCTTTCTGCATGCAGTGGAGAAAAAACCTGTTGTGGCACAGAGCCAAGGAGTCCTTAAACTCAGACCGGGATGAATTAGGCCTCCGCAAGACTCGGGCAAGGGCTGAACCCACCCTGATGGCTATGGTGCAGGAACAAACACCTCACACCAAGAATACACCCCGAGCATCCAAAACCTATTAAAGGACATACAATTATGGATGGCCACCTGTAAAAACAGGAAGAAGCTTACGGCTCACATCTCTTCTGCTAGAGCTGCTCTCGCGGGAGGGCTGAGAGTGCAAGGCCTGAAAAGGCTTTTGTGTGCTGGCTGCTCCTCCTGTGGCAAATTCCACCCTGCAGAGACACTCCTTCCTTTTGGCGACTGAACAAAGAGCAGAAGAAAATGATGCCACACACGCTGGTGTATTTCCTAAGAGGCCTCTCGTCCAGATGGCATTTGAAGTTGAGTAAGAAGACGTGATACTGAGCCACAGAGGAGCTGGGGAAGAGCTTTAAGACCCACTCAGAGGGAAAACAGAAGGTTTCCTGTTCAATAAAATACCATTCACCGATCTTTGTTACCTGGCATGGGAGTCACCCCGGAACCATTACATTGCATCAATGGCAATGAAATTCTGTATATTCATGAATCGCATGCCCCCGTCCGGCTGTGAGCCAGCTCTGGCTCTTAGCTAGTCAGTCAGGCTTTTTCTTTTTTTTTCTTTGGCAAACGCTGATATAGGGAAGACAGCATTTGATGAGGCACCTTCATTTCATTACTTTCAATTACTGCCAGTTCTGTGTTCTTCAGCGCCCAAGGTGTGAGCAGAAGGACACAGGAACGCATTTGTAGCAGCACCAGCAAATCTGGCTGGAGGGAAGGATCACGGGGGTCCATAAATGATTGAATTGCTCATCTGCTGCACAAGAAAGCCTCAGACCTGGGAGGTCTTTCTCAGGCCCTGATCTTTAGCACGCTATCAAACTTTTTTAGCAACCATCACCTTTTCTTCTCGGGGTAGCAATCCTAAATACTGCACAGGAAGAGCAGCCAGAGATACACAGTCCTGCAGAAGAGCCACTGCGCTGCATGGAGCTCATACACAAAATACAAACTCAGAGGGTAACATGCACTACAAAAGCTGGAGGAAAGACGAACTGAGTGAGAAGAAGACTAAGGGCTAGGATCACTGACTTCTGAAATACAAAACAGGAGTGTAATTAAGTATTCTCTACTTTGCAAGAAGAAATCAATTTGCTTTGCAAGAAGAAGATTATTTACTTTGCAGTATGAAGGATTCATGTTAAAGACTCTTTTCATCATGATTGTAAAATACTAAAACAGGCTACCTACTGGCAAGCTCTCTAAGATTATTTTTATCGTGGGGCAGCAAACACCAGGTGGTGACCTAGCAACGCTCAGCCTTTCTGAAGCGCAGAGAGCAGACAAGATCAAACATTTTACTCTCACACCTCCAGGGCTAGCAGGAGCGGGGAGCATTTTGTCCCACCTGCTGCCCCCGACTCAGCAGATCCTGCAGAGAAAGGAGCCGTTTCTCCCCAAATCCCTCTCAGCCCCAGGATTCTCTTTTACCCAGAGTAAAACATTCAATGCTGATGATCACCCACCTTGTAGCTGCAGGATTCCGCAGTATCCAGGACCAAGGACGCCGGCTGCTCCCGTTACCGCTCTCCACACCCGTGCTTCACAGCCTCCGGGGCACGTGTTGCAAGCCTCCGAGGGAAACGCTGCTCCGTACGCTGCTCCATGCCCACCAAAGAGACAGAAACGAGCCTCCCCTGAGAAAAGACACAATCAACGCACATGGCAGATCAGACTTCACTTGCTTGGTGGCTGCAGCCCATTCCCACCCACCTCGGTGACACCAGAGCAAGCGTAGACTCGGGGAAGAAACCTGCGACAGATGAACCAGCAGCCCGCAGACCCTCATGCCACAGCTGGGGAGGCCCAGGGGACCGGCTGGATCTGGGAAGGAGGAGGGAAGAAGGCAGTTACACATGGAGACAGTGGGCTGCAAGGGCTAGCCAAGCCCTTTCAAGTCACATTTGCACCCCTTCTTTTCCAAAATACAGAACTGGATTGTATTGAAGGTGCCGAGATGGCAGCAGATCACCAAGGTTAGTACAGTACTCTGCATCCCCCTACCAGAACACACCTCGTTTTTTTGATCTGCAACTCCCAAATGGGTCCATAACCGGACCGATGGCAAACCACGTGAGATCCTCCAGTTATCCCAATTGTAAGGCGTATCATTTTGCTCTTGGCATCAAAGCTTTTCCTTTGACTCTTATTTTTCCAGTACTTTCATAAAAAACCCCACCGAGAATCCAATTCAGTGACGACACCATCACCACCCTACAAGAAGCTGGACCTTCAGGTCAGAGCTGCGTGTCCTACCAGTGCTTTCCACAGCTGAATGTGAAGCCACGCATTTGACCTCAATACTGTAACTTTTTCTCTTTGTTCCCCTATCGACCCGTGTGCTATTTTCAAACATTTCTATTTTTCCCTGCTGGCCAGTTCTGCTGGCTTGTTTTTTTTGATTAAATTCGTGAACAGCCAAACTTGCCATCAGATGAAAAAGTAATAAGAAGTAGTTAGGTAGGACTAATAGATTACTCCAAAACAACAACCAAGTTTCACATGCATTATCTAGTTTTCAATGATCTTGCTTGAGCACAATTCAAAACATCACAACATTAACACAATTTATACTCTGGGAAATGAGGAAGGCAGACTGGAAGCATTATTGCCTTCGGCGAGGTCTCCTCTGCCACGTTTTGCACGCGTAGGGATCGGCAGCTGCCCTCCGTTCGTCCAAGCTCTGCTCGTCAATGCGAGGCACTGGTATCACAGGCGCAAGAAACCAAACCCACAGAATTTGTGATCAATGCTACGCTGTCCCAGCCGCAAGCATTACTTGGGTCAACAAACGAAAACAGAGAGGAAAAGGTCCACCACGGAAGAGACTTAATGCAAAGAAACATCCCAAGTGGGCGGGAACCAGATGGCAATTGAGCAGACGGCAAATTTTTATTGTAAATGTAGCTAGCTCGGCATGACTACATTTCCTCTATATAAAAAGCAACCCAAAAGGCAAAACAAGAGAGGCTTCGTGGACAGTTGTGCTCTCGGCATGCAGCACCTTCAGAAATTAAAGAACATGCATGACGCTCTCACAGCGATGCTGATTAATTGCAGGAGGAGAACAGTGGCGACTCTCTCCACGTCGGCGGGCTGATCCTGGAGCCATGCAGCACGCTAACTCCGCTGGGATTCAGTACAAGGTTAGTTTAAAACCCCGCTACCGCCTGACGGCAAAGCGGTGTAGCGACTGTACCAACGCCAGCTTTAGGCACCTTCCTCCTTTGGACACCCCCTCTGCTCTCGCCCCACTGCTGAACTAGCTGCCAACATGTCAACATCACAGTCATTACCAGACTTTAACTGTACCCTTTTTAATTTTTTTGTTAAAAATGTCATAAAGACACCATGAATACAAGTACTGCAGTTACATCAATACAAAAAAAGCAATACAAATTAAGCAGCTGAATACAAAAATACATTGAAATACATGAACACCACAATGTAACTTATAGCACTAATCAGAATTGTGTATGCGTGAAAAAATTAAATAAAAACCTTTTTTGTATTAGACAACTTAGGTATTCTCCACTTTTAACAGTAACTTTCTTCTAGTTATGTACTTCACAATTTCTTCTATATACAGCATAGAATAAAATACTTTTAAAAGATATGACATTTTTAATCCTCAATATGCGATATAGGTCTCTTTTACACTAAGAATATTGACTGCATGAATAAAAACTGTCAATGTCTTACATCAACTGATCTGAAAAGGAGGATCACCATTTTCCTTTTAAATCATTCACGTAGGTTTTAAATCAGTTAGTAGGTTTGGCTTGATGCGTCGGACAATCCTTGTCAAACAGCGTCTCTCACAGTAATGTACATAATATTGCTTGTATCTATACAATCATACAAATGTGGCAATCATATCTAAATGTTGTTTATGAAAGAGACAGCTCACACATATACAGGTCTTCGGACTTTCTTAATGACATATTTACAATGAAAGTGCTTTTATCAGCTCTAACACGATACATGGGGGTGGTTTTTTTTCTACATGTCAATTATTAGTCTCCCTGAAATTGGAAAAGTATTCTATAGAAAATACCACAGCTTTGCAAACACTATAGCATACTGTATAACTGCATGTGGTTCTGAGATTAGCAGCTGAAAAGTGTTGATAATTATAATTTAAAAATAAATAAAGCAAAGAGGTAAACCAGTTACAAAACAGCAGAAAACTGCAATATTCACAACAGTAAAAAGACTTAAAATCAATTGCTAACAAAACGGTGAAGCAGTTGGATCGAAAGTCTTGAAAACATCTTTTAACGACTTATCATCTGATTCCCCATTCGGATCGCTATCCTGCGTCTGCGTTACCTGTCCGGGCTGTCTAACCTGCCTCGGGTCGCTGTACTGCGGTCTGATTAATCCCGATAAAGCTTGGATGGGAAGATTATGCACCGCGGGTGCGGCGCTGGAGTGTTTAGCCTGAGATTTACTGGTGCTATTTGCTTTATCTGAAGTAGCTTCCGCTGATCCTTCTGTATTTTTTTCCACGTTGGAGGCAGCCTTCGGCAGCGATGTATCTTCTGAGAGACTGGGTTCATTTTTACCAGAATTTTTCAAAATACTCTTTTTCTGGTTCTCGCCGTTCTCTCCGGAACTAGCTGGAGCCGTGTCCGACGAGGAGCTGTGATCTCTCGGATCATACAAACTAATACCGCTCAGTATCGAGCCTGGAGTTCCCAGCCTAACACCACTCGATGATAATTTGGGTGCGTACGGAGGCAGACCATCCGGGTCAGGTTTAGCGGTCGCAGCTTCCGCGGGCTGCGATGAGCCAGCAGCAGATCTGGCCAGGCGAGGGTCAAACTTCGGAGGGTGCGAATCCTTCGTGACTCCATGATGCGTGTCTGCGCTCGACAGTCTGTGGAGTCTGGGATCGACGTTTTTTTGTAAGCGAGGATCTCCTAATTTGCTCGAGCTACTGGCATGCGAATCTGCAGAGGGATCCAAGTAGCCGCTCCTGCCCGTTAAGTTGTTTTTCGCCTTTGCAGCTAGCCGCGGGTCAGCTGGCATTGCATTCGGATGGGGATCGTTTTTCAAATTCCGCAGTTTATTAAGTCTCTGGTCAGCAATGAGAGGAGGAAGAGGTAAATTGATTGAAGAGACGGGGTCAGGCTTAGGCAAAGGTATTGGGAGCAAGTCTTCGGGTGCCCAGACAATATGCTTAGCAAAGTTTGGTTTCATCAGGGTAACATCCATTTTAATGTGGCTGAACTGCCTAAGCTGAGATCGGGGATCCCTTAACGTTACACCAGGCAAAGGTTCCAACGGTATCAGAAAAGCTCGTTCCCTCAGCTCTCTTTCCGAGTCCTCTTCGTCATCGTCCATCCCTTTCTGCTTGACCTTAACTCCAGCGTGTGCATGGTGTAAATCTAGCTTTGCTCCCCCAAGGGACGAGCTGGCGTGGCCACCCTCGCTGACCTTGTGCATCCTGGGATCTCGTACGAGCCGTGGGTCCAAGGATGCGGACTCTGAAGGCTTTCTAGGGTTGGACCTTGGAGAGGCCCGAAGCCTCGGGTCAGCAGCCTGAGGCCCTGCACCTTTTTCTTTTGCCAGCCTCGGATCAGTAGGAATACCAAGCATGTGCTGCTCTGCGGAATGTTGTTGGCGATTCCTAAAATTTTCGCTTTGCTTCTTTAAGGTTTTTAGTATTGATTTAACACTGCTCCCCTCTTCCTCTTCACTACTGGAATACCAGTTGACATTGTCATCTTAAAAAAAAAAAAAAAGAAAAAAAAAAGAAAATTATTCAAGCACCAGGGACTACAACGCATTTCCTCATATAAAGGGTAGCTTCTCAGCAAAAATCAAACTGAAAAGACCCAGTATTAAATCATCACTCCCTGTATTATTACAACTGCAACCTCAAATGACAAAAATCAATTTCAGCAAAGAACAGATGTAACAAAGAAACTGTAGCTAGTTGAGATACTCCCAAACTCTGCTGCGCTCTGCCTACATATCTCTCTGTCAATATTAATCTGGGAAAATTACCTGCTTTCAAACAATTATTCCTACCAGTACTGGTTAAGAAAAAAACATTTAAAATCTGAGTCTTGATGAAAATGACCTTCACTCTGGGATGGCAGAACAGAAAGTAAAATGGCACCTTACAGTAGTCTTAAAAACTGATAAATTACAAACGTGGCATGTGCTGCTTTATTACAAGCCAAATCACTATGTTTTGGGGAGAGGTCAAGACTCAGGAAGGGAAGAAATAAAGAGTATTTCATTTTAAAGGATAAATTCTCAACTGCCTTCTGCAATGTACTGGAAAGCCTTATTAACACAGCTGCAGGCTCAGAGCCACACCCTAAACTTGCCTACTCACTGAAGGAGACCAGCAGTCTGTTCTGAGTCAGGAAAATGAGAAAGGAAGGCGAAACCCACCACTACCATCTAACGCACAGTAACACGTGCCTCCTCAGCGCTTCTTGTGCCACACAAACATTCAGCCACAGGGAGTGACATGTTGTTGGAGGCCGCTAATAGGAACATTTTTCCATTGTGCTGCTTCCCAAAAGCCCTGGAGGGGAGGACCAGTCACTCTTAAAGCACTGGTGAGAAGTCTTTGCTTCAGAGCGATTACCCTAGGTCGCTCTGTTTTTTATGTAGCCTGAAGGGCTGCATTTCCAGATCTCATAATTTGATCTGAATTATATTGGCAATATCCTCGAAATCATTTGATACAGCAACTGCCTTTTGGTCAGACAGAGGAGGCATTTCTGGTCACATAACCCAGCAGCCTCCGAAAAGGGTGCAGCAAGGAGCAGGCCGAGGGACAAATGTACCCTGTGTGGCCGGATCCGCTCTGCAGGCTTACTGCTCTCCTTTGTCCAGGTTGCAGAAGAGACGACTGTGATTAAACACTACCAATTCCAGGTATCAGAGAGAAAAAAATACTTCTCTCGAGAAATAGAATATGCAGAAAAGATCAAGAGGCACAACTGAATAAACAGAATCTAAGAATCGCTTGCACTATTGGCAGTTAGAAATAAAAATCTCTCTGTTTCAATCAGGGATTTTAAGAATTAATTGAGTTATCAGCAAGAGAACCTTTTCAAAGTACAAACTATACCCAAAAAATTATTCACAGATCTTTCTACTTGGAACTGGAATGCAGCAACTAAGCATCTACTAAAATGCTGGAACAAACTGGGAAAGAAAGCAAGTATATTCAGCTGAAAATATTATTTGAGTTGGTACTTGCACATTCACAATAATTGTGAATGGTAACACGATGAAAATCTAAGTCAACGGATTTGTTCCAAGCTAATACATGGCCAATAAGTATGTTCAGAACTGTAACAAAATTATCTTTACCTTCGTCTTTGCTCATTGCCCTCTGACCCTGGCTGTTGACAGAGTCTCCATCTCTTTGATGCTTTTGACTAAGTCTTACATAAAGGGCCTTCTGCATTGCTGGAAGAAAATCCGGTACATTAATGGCTGGTTTATGGCCCATATGGCTACTCATGCAGTCTGACTCGCTTCCACCTTGATGGGACTCTTGAGCCATGAGGTGAGCCTGGTGATCTGTAAATTCTCCATGCCATGTTCCATCTGCGGGGCAAAAAAACCCACCAGTTAGCAGCTAACCTATGCAAGCTTTTACAGCAGAGGAGATAAAACATAAAACACAATCAAGCAAAACTAATGTGACTTATATTACACGATGGAAAGCATCAGCTGAAAGAGCCAATACACCGAAGACATTCCAGGAGGTTTGGCTTTCTGTCCCAAATTCTTGCAGCTGCTCAGCTTTGGAGCTGTGATGTTTTAATACCGCTCAACTGCAAAGTGCCATATCAAGGAACGACAATTTTAAAATGTCCTTACCACCAGAGTTGTTAGCTGGCTGGAAGTTATGTACGGCTTGATGAGAATAGTAATTGTCATAGAAATCAGCTGGGTTCTGAATCGGCTCGTAATTCATATTCGGCTGCCGTTCACCAGGAATCTGCTGGTATTGTGGCCCCGGAGGACAATGATTCTCTCTCGGCATATTCACCATATGTCCTTGAACTCCTGGGGCATTGTAAGATCCCCCGAGACCCGGTGGTGTGAGAGGCGGACCACCCTGCTGTCCTTGCATAGGCATACCAGTCTGGTTCTGTGGTCCGAGAAAGCCTGGTGGAACACCCTGCATAGGAGGACTCTGGGGCATTCCTTGAGGCCCCGCGCAGGGATGATGTCCAGGAGAGCCTGGGTGCATCGGAGGCCCGTTATGTCCTTGTGACATGCCGGGTCCTGGCCCTGGACTTGAACCTGGATTGTACATATGCTGAGAATGTGGGTCATTTCCCTGAAACGGTGGTCTTGGTGGTGATACGCTGTTATAGAAGGTCGGTGGCCTGTAGGCAAAAGAAAGTGAGTGAATCGAATTTTGCACCTACAAAGATCAAGAGCGTATTGCCTGCCTCCCCCTCCTCGCTCTCACAGACGTCTGTTCGCAATTATTTGATCTTAAGTTGGATAAAAATCTGAAAGAAGCAAAATGATTTTCAAAGAGAGTAACTATATACATTACACATGACAGAGCTTGCCTGGAAGCAGAACATTTCTTCAACATTAGCACATGCAGTTGCAGCAGATGTCCAGTTCTAAGAGTTTTAAACATCCCAAGGCCAACCGTCTCCATCAGGAGTGTTGATTGGCTTTGGTCAAGAAAAAGCCAACTATAAAAAGAGTTTAGAAGAGAATGAACCTTGCTCAACCTACAAATGGAGATAGGCAAGGCAGGCATGGAGCCAAAACAAAGAGCCAATGGAAGGACTTTCTGGAAGGTCCGGGCTCAGTAACTTCTCTTCTACGGAAAGCATTAAATAAGTAAATAATTACAGTAGCCAGTATTTGACTGCTCATTAACTTCACAATATACTCAAAGTACCTACTTCCGACAGAAGAGAACTGCTTAAACATTTATGCAGCCATGTTTTAAGGAGAGTTCTACACAAAATTCTAAAACCTACTTTTTTCCAATTTTGTGTGCTAAATCCACAGTAGGCTTCACAACTATTTCAAAGAGAGACGGGATTTTCTTATATTCTCCTGAAGGATCTTGATAATTTTCTATATCGGACTCAGAGAACGGATATTGCTCTGGCGGGGTTGGCAGAAGCCCAACACCTGGTGGTGGCTTAGGGAGAGGAACTATGCCACGCTTTCTGAGTTCCTCCAGTTCTTTCTCATCTTCATTTTGTGGTTCCTCCTCAGTATTCAAAACCTAGAACAAAGCAATGTAGCAAACACTCCAGTAATTTTGCAGTACATGCAATTCAATTTAGTCTTGCACTTTCCATTTAAATATAATTACCTGCTACAATACTGCTATATATTGACATCAAACTCGGAAGAATTATAAATCTATCATTACTTGTTCTGCAGGACACCGATTCACAGCCAGGAAGAAAACTATTTCTGTAGTCAGGAGAGGACAACTTCACACAAGCCCATTTCCTTCAAACAGTAATTTTAAGTGACAGGAACTGAAGGACTTATTCTAAGATTCAAAATGTTTCTAGTGTTAAGTTCAGGCCACTTTTCTGTTAATGCCTGTAGTACAGAAACTGGAGAGAGATTACTTAACACAAAGGTCAGGATTTCATGAATCATTCCGGGGAGGCACCTCATTCCTTTCTCCACCCCAAGTGCAGAACTAGGTCAGATGATATCTAACTTCTAGGCAACTAAAGGTAGACAACATAAAAGCCACGCTTCTTGTTACAGAGTACGTGAAGATTTCCACAGGAAGGGATGCAAAAGGAAGTTCAAGGGCAGAAACTTGAGTCTGATATGGCTAAAAACACCTGACTAACTGATGGCAAGGGGAATTGCTGGTATTGCTGGTATTGAACCTGGTCACAGACGTACTGTGCTAAAGAGTGTCAGGGAAGCTGTCTAGCATCACACTCCCCAGGAATCCCACGGAGACTTCTAACAACCTCCCCCCTATTCTTTCTAGCCACAAACCTTGTGTTTACAGACCAAGTATTGCTCACCTTATCCAACAGCTCTTTTGTTTCTGCAGTCAGGGGAGCATGAGAAAATTTGCACTTATCTCCTTGATAGCATTTCGCTCCTGTGTGGTAGAACTTGCAAGGGAATTCATGTAAGCAATGTATTAAGGATTCCTAACAAAGGCTGATCTCCAGTTTTCACTGCTTGGCAAGGTTATGAAATGCAGCTGTCAGCTATCCTTCAATTCTTCACCTTTCCAAAGCTGTATGTTAAGAATTTTGAAAGCCAATAACCATCTTACCTCCCAGTTCCATTTAACATTCTACTAATAATTACATTACTGTGGCCTTAATGTTGATTCTAAAACTGTGATTAAAAAGATGAAGCTCCCAACTGTGATTAAAAAGATGGAGGTCTCAATTGCAGAATAAAACACAAGCCCTTTACCACAAACAAGAACAGATCAGGGTTTTAAAAGTAGGTGGACAAATGCACCTAACTTCCAGGGGGTTTACCTTTTAAAACATTAAACAACCTTAAAACCAAAACCAAACCAGTAATTTTGTATGTTTTTTCTCCTCATGAATATTTGAGCAGAAAAATAATCTTCTTGTAGTAAATCTACATAGTCTTTGGCCTAGTCTCCTCAGAAAGAGACAGCTACCCTTAACAATCACATCAATTAAGAGAAGATATAAGCTGCCAGTTGAATTCAAGTATTTTTTTAAAGGATATTGTGCAAATAAATGCAGTTCTCTCCTTTGGTGCAGTAACCCTGTATGTAAAACTTGCAGATTTCCTTTTTCTTTTCAATCTCTGCATCATGATCAAATTTACACTGCTCTCCCTATAAATAAAAAAACAAGAAAAACCATTATCAATCTGAAATGCTGAGACATTTCATTTCATATTTAAAGAAAAACATTCTCCTTAGCGGAATTTAACCTTTTTATCTTTACTAACACAGAATTGCATTATAAGCATGTCCCTAAAAACTGTGAATAGGGGGCCTAGACATAGAGAATGGGGATTCCATCAGGAATATATGCAGTGGTCACAGAAAACAAGGTGGCCTCCCAGTACCAGTTCTCTTCTCGGTCTCCACCTCGCAATTTGCATTAAAAAGGCATTTAAACAAATACTTTAACTGAAATTCTTTCCCATATAAACAATTATGCACTTGATCAGAAAAGCTAATTCCGTTTTAAAGGTGTGTGGGAGAACTCAGAAAAGTCCAACAAGCAAAGTGTTAAGACTCTTCCATGTAGGTAAAATAGAGTCCAAATAATATCAAGTTTCTATCGATGATATCGTGTTATACATTAGGATTACTTCGCTGGAGAGGCTTTTTGTGTATTTTTTGTATTTATTTTCACAAAAAATAGCACTAAGTGCTCTTTCAGCCACTTGTTTTAAAACTGAAGGTGGCAGCAAATACCTTACTGAGCACGGCATACTAAAATATATAAAGGCAGCAACAAATGCATTGTTTTCAATTCCCCCCGGTTTGGGAAAAAGCACACTGATTTTCACCTTTGACCATTTGAAAAAGAAACAGAAAATGTTCTATTTCTAAATACACAGAGGAACCAAATATAAATGACGCACTCACTTAGTCGAGAAGTATGCTGTTTTTCTTAAGTGTGTTTTAGCACTGCCTGAACTAGTCTCACATCAGAGGATTCAATTCCACAGCAGCACAAGCTTCAAAATGAAGCAGTAGCAACTTTTTTATGTAATAAGAGACTGTCTTGCTAGGGCTTTTGCTTGACAGCTGACTGCTCTGAATAGCATTCTCTTCTTTCTGCTGCCTTCCGCTTGCTGGCTGAAGGAAGATGATTCTCTGGTAGGGGAACTATTACTACAACCTCACTTTTTACTTTAGAGAGAGAAATAATTTAGCATAATTAAGCAATTCCTTCAATGTTTCAGAATTAGCAGTAGCACATAAAAAAAGAGAAATAATCTAATACATTCAGAAATCATTGCCTATTTACAGATTCCGTACTTGTAAGATTTGTATATTTACATATTCACTGTCAGTGTAAGTTTATGAGTTTTTACTGTATATACTACTAGGCAAACACAATCATTTTTAACAGAATTTGTTACAATCCAAAATGCGTAACAGAAGGGGATATTTTTCCACAAGTACTTCTGTTGGCATTTATCTACAAATATGCCAAACATTAGAAATCAAAACACTGAGTTTCAATGTGTAAGTTTGCTTTGCATCAGCTGAAGTAAAAAAGAACAGAGCATCTTCTTCCCTTCCCCACAGCAAAGATGATGACTGACAGACACAGCGCGTAATTACCTTAATACATCTCCCTTCAAGGAAATATTTACAAATTTGTTTGCCTTTGTGTTCCACTGTGTGCTGATTTATGAACTCCTGACTCATATTAACCCACTTCTTCACTGGTTTGCCGTCCTGTAAGAAAAACAAACATCCTACTGATGCTTACTTATTAAGCACAGTTGCAAAAATATTAAGAGCATAGCTGGTACACTAGTTACCCCAAAATGGGATTAACCATACCACGATTTAAGTTCTTAAAATGATTATACCCACAGCTCAAAGTAGAGGTAACTACACATACTTTTTCTTAGCTGCTTTAATGCAGAGTCTTTTTTTATAAATGCAACCAAATCAGAAGCTTCTTACAATATAACAGACAAAATAACCTCAGTGAACGGACAGACAATCTCACCCTCCATTTGACAATGCTGGAAAGCCAGGCTGATTCCTGGGCACCCACCAAGCCAGCCCCCTGATTAACACCACCTCTGCAGACAGCCAGGAGTTGAGCAATCACCCAGGCTTCCAGAGCACCGTCTTCACCACAAGTCTATGCTCTGCCAACCCTTCCCCTCTACGTGCTTCTCATGTGATTGGTATCTCCACACTATCGATCTTTTTTCTCCCGTTAGAAGAAAAATAACCTGTTTTCTTATACCACAAGGCAAAGCAGAGAGGAAGCACCATTCAATCATGACCTAACACGTAAGAATTATGTACCTGGTGCGGCAAATAATTCTTCCCTCATGATTTGATTCCCATGTGGCATCTGCACTCGAGATAAACTTAAGAAACCGCAGTAAACTCCTCTAACTAGAGAGTCTGGGACAGGCATTGAGGGACCCTGGCAGAGCTAGTGAAGTCACAGAAGTAGATGGCCTTTAACGAACTGCTGTCTATGATGCCGCAACAAATTCCTTCTCTGCAGTGCTAGGTGGTTGCCAACTGATCTGATGACAGAGGGAAACAAGCTTTTCCAATTTCTGATGTTCACAAAAATGAGCAGGGATCCGACTGCTGAGTGGGAACTTCTGAAACAGAGTGGATGCGGCTCTCCCCAGCCACCACACCGCACCATGAGCACACACGAGCATCAGCTCATTGAGTGTCCGGTCTCATTTTGCTTGGCAGATTAAGCAATGTCACAAAACATTAACACTAAGAATGATTTGCAGATTTTGTTGTTTGAGAAGCAGAGGTCTTCAAGCTAGAAATGCCACTCCTGGATCAGTCCAGATCCATTTTCTACTCTGAACACATTAAATCCAGAGAAATCTCAGCTGCTTCGGACAAAGCGGCTTTGAATCTAATACATGACCCTCTTCAAGATTAATGCAAATATCACAAAGCCACAATGCTCCAAAGTCTCTCTGCAAACCACCAACCGCCCCACACTGCAAAGCGCTTGAGACAACGGCTGGAGGAAGGCTGAAACGCTTCCACCATGTCCCCAAGAACCCCGGGGATGTCGCTGCATGGCTCAGAAGTCTCGACGGTTGCCCCACCACACCGCGCAGCTCAGCGTCTGCATCGCAGAATTCATTCTTTTGCTGCAGCCAGGAGCCCAGCTTTTTGTTTTCTGCCTCCCAGCCTGCAGCTGCCTCCTCGTCTCCACCCTTCCCCTCTGCTTTGGAGACGGCGCCGGGGGCACAAAAAAAAACAGATCAAACAGCCGCCCGCTTCCCTACCATATGTAGGGCAGGGGAAGGGAGATCTGATTGGGAGCCCCCAGCAGCCCCAGAGGGTTAGGCCAGCTGGAGAACACGGGGGGTTAAACGAACACGGCTGAATTACGCACCACTGCGTTAGTGAGAAGCCAGCCGTGTGTGTGCTGGGGTGCAGGAGGGAGGAGAACCACAGGCGTTCTATTGCAGCATACAGACTTAAGTATGACTTGGCTTAAATAATGTTTTTCAGCCATGGATGGATTTGATCCACTAATCATCAATTTTGTATCGTTTTCCATTTAAATGAAGATCGGAGAAATTTACAAACACCGTGCAAATACTGAACCCTATTTTCTCTAATTCCTGGGCAAAGAATTACCAAATGAAAACCAAGGTCGCAGTTCTATTTCCACAGTTACAGCTACGGAAAGAGAAGGAGAATTCTTCACGGTTCAGATGGGAACTAGAAAAAGCTGTCCATTTCCTTTGCTGAAAAATCCAGGGTGAACCAGCAGTAGCAAAACACCTTATTTCAGGTACAGTTAAAGTTGAAGTTCACACACCACTCAAAACCAAAGCTTACAAGCCACTTTCTGCTAGTTTTTTCATATTTCCAAGAAAAAGAAGAAAATTAAGTATTAGCTTAAGTTACCAGCTATACTTCATACATCAAGTGTTGGAAAAGTCTAGTAATTTTCTAGATAAGAGAAAAAAGTTTAAAGCCACGTATTTTTAAATACTCTTCTGTTAAAGCGAAGCATCCAGTCATTTGAAACTACAGCATTAGGAATTCAACTTTAATTCCACATACCTCATGAAAGCCATCAGATCCTTTATTGCCCCCTCTTCCCCTTCCACGATCTTTACGCTTCAATTTCTTTTGCATTCCACGCCCTCGACCAACATTGTAATTATTACCTCTTTGAGAAATACCTGAAAAACAGCAACGACCTCCTTAAATGACCTCAGAAAGTAAAGAAAAATGGTTATCTAGTGACATTGAATACAGACAAATCTAGCAAACGAATTATCTACCTTTCTGCAGCCTGAATTCCTAACTACTGTCTTGAATCACGAGCTGGCAAGTACAACTAACCGGCCAATTGTAATTCTGTGCAACTGCCTGCTCTTTGAAAAGCTCAAATCAATAGCAGACCGACAAACTGAATGTAAAATTAATCTTGTTCAAAGCAGCGTCTCGCAATTAGAAGCGCAGACATGTTAGTTCTAACCATCCCAAGTATTCAATCTTCAAGTATTTTGTGTCGTTTGGTCCCTTTCTGAACTAACCAGTACAACTGGCACCCACGTGTGCGCATGTTTCATTGCCACAACACGCAAGCAACCCAAGATCATAACCTAAGAAATATGACAGAGCAGCTTTGAATAGAAAAAATGCTTAATGGTAACTGTTTGGAAACCTCAAGACGGTAATTATCCAGCTAGCAGCACGCCGGGAGTCATGGTCTCAACTAAAACCACTGAGACAGAGTATCTGCGTTCTCATCAATTTAAAACCAAAGAAAATCAGTTTGGAAGTTCTGCGGACATCACAGCCGCTTCAGGTGGCAGCCACTTTGCAACAGCAAGGCTGATCCCAGTGGAAATGCCTCGACTTCATCTCAGATGACTTGCGGACAGCGGTTTTGAAGCAGTATTGCCAAGCAGCACATGAAAAGCTGGTTTTGTCTCAGCTAAGAAGATTCTGCCAATCTTTTGCCAATTTATTTTATTGTGAGCCAAAACAGGATACAATAAATCTTCACTGTCACAAACGAAAGGCAGCTTACTCCCTTTGTATAACACACAGTATCTTCCCGAGAACTAGTAAGGTAGCCATACTGTCACATAAAACCCTGCCCAAATTTTGCCTGGGATTCAAACTTTTGCCCATGATTACAGGGAGGAAATTTTGCAAACGGAATTGACAGTTTCTGAAATGAGAACTTGATTTGACAGAAGGAGGGACGAGAACGAGCAAGGCATTTCTAGGTGGCCAATGGGGCTATCTCTGTCAATGGCATGCACCTCCTCCGTTGCCTAACCTTCCACACCCCACGGCCTGTGGAGTCAGAAATCCCTTCCTAATAAGGAGGCCAGAGGTGTAAGCTGGCTCAGTGAATTGCATTACAATGGTAAGGAAATGAGGAGACACCACATGAAAGGTGCGAATAGGAATGCCTGCATAACTAGGCTCATACAAGCAAGCCATGCAATACGGGCAGCGGGACTCTAAGAGGAATACTTTTACACCGGCATTTCTATTGGCCCAGCTTTGAATGCGAGAAAAGTTGGGAAAAGAAAAACAAAAGGACACCAGCATACTTGTGGGGCGTACTAATAAAAGTATTCAGGCACCTATCAAAATTTCTAGGTACTTAATTTTTTGGGGAGGGGACACTAAGTTAGATTTTGGAACTGACATATTTACACTCCTCCCCCCAGTCGAGTCCCATTTCAGACTTTCGTAAGTTTATAACGATTCAAATTATCTTACCTTTCTGGATCCCCTTCATCCCCTGTTTTTTCACTGGTTCTTTCGGGAATGGAGGTCCTAAATCAGTACTGGAGGTCTCTTTAGCTTGCCTGTATTGTTTAAGCTGATCAGCAAAATCTTCATCCTTTTCTTCCTCATTATAATTACCAAAGTTTTCATCACTGTAATGACTATAGTCGTCATACTCCTTACTTTTTACATTTTTTTTATGTTGCATTTTCTGTGAACTCATGTAATTTCCTGATACGTGTCCATGCTGCATGAAAGGGATTGCATTGTTCAGAAGCAACTCAGTATTTCAAAAAACACCTATCCAAACTGCTCTACAAAACCAATTCTTTTCCCCCCATTTTCTTGTCGTGCTGTCTACCAGATTTGCACAAACAAGCATTAATAATAAACAGTGAAAATCAGTTCCCTCATAAAAATTAGTACTTTTGATTCTGGATGCATAGAAATAGGAAAAAGGACAAAAAAGAACAGCACCAGCACCTATACTCCACAACACTTCTCAGTGGGGTTGGCGAAGCATTTTAACGTATGCAGTTCTAAATGATGCAGTTCTAACTATGATTAAAATAATTTTTTTCCATTCATGATCTCTGTATCCTGACAATCTTGGACACAGATGAAACAACCTGTCCTGTTTCCGTCAGTCAGGATGAAATACTGCTTATCACCACTCCTAAGCCAGCACCGTCGCTTCTCCCATTTCCACAGACAGGATCTTCTGCTCATAAATTTGGCTGGCTTCGAGGATTCTGGAATGGTTTCAGGCTAAAAGGAAAGTCTCCCCTCCTCTGAAGCACCAGAGTTTCATCAAGCCCCTAGCTGCTCTATTGCAGCTTTAGAGAACGGCTTTCTATTTCACCCAGTGGTCTCAGGAGGGCTGTCGAGCTGCACAGACTGAGCAGCAAAGCCAGGACAAATTGAACTATCAGAAAGCAGAACCAACTCTAGATATTTAAAGGTGGCTTTTCAAGAGTTGTTTCCTCTTAGTACCATCTAAATCCAATGCAGGCAGTAATAGAGATATCTTAATTGTTGCCTGATGGAGGAAAAAATAGAATGAGGCTTGTTTACACCACCTACATTTCATGCCACAGATAATGCCTTACATTTGCAAATCTACCCGAGGAGATGAGAAGTAGATGTGTTTGTGAAATCTGCGAGAATGGGCACTGCGATCAAGTCAGCCTTCAAAAACCCCATCATTTACATTTGCATTTTTTACATTACACCTAAATAAAGACATGAGAACTCCATTTAGAAAAATACTACCTGACTGAACGAAGAATCGTAATCTCTGTATGAAGAGCTGCTACTCTTTTTGTGTGGTCTTTCTGTACGCTCAATGTCAGAGTCATGGCTGTAGTCTGAACTATCATCACTGGAAGGGGAGTTATGCTGAAAAAAAGAAGAAGAGAGCGCTCTCAGAAGTTGTTAGATAGTTCCCTAACTGGTCTGCTGTATATGAATTTAAAGGAAGCATGAGCCCAATAAATAAATCAAAGAATTTTCTCAAGTCTCAGAAACCTCTGCTTCAGGGGGAAGCTAAAGAAAGCACACTCTTTGATGACCCACTCTTTTTATCAAAGAGATCTGACCCAATGAGGCTTCCGAATGTAAACATTGAGGGCTATGTGGTTTTTCTGGGTTATATCAGCTTCCCACAGGTCTCCCTAAGCCCTGCTTCTTTGCAACATAGCAGGGAAGCCGCCAGAAGGCTAACAAATCTGGGAGATGGCTAGAAACTTGCATGTGACCATAGAAATTATTAGCATCCTGTAATTTTCTGCAGGGACAAAACTACAAGCACTTCACTTAGATGTATTGTTTTGCAGAAAGTTTAGAGGGGAAACCATACGAGAATACTGTATTTCTGTGATTTTTAGAAAAGGACCATCAGGTTTAATTTTCTAGGTTAAAATTTTCTGAATCACTTGCACTTATTTAAGTTTACTAAAATATATATTAGAAACATGAACTTTACTGAAGAATTCACTTAACTAGCCTGAAATATTTTCTTGCCATAAATTATGATAATTAGCACAAGAAGTGAAATTGATACATTTCTATTTCGCATCTTATCCGAAAAAACTCTCACTTGCTATGGTTCGGCTACTCTTGCCAGTGGCCACTGCTTAACTCACACCACTGCTTAAGACTTAAACAATTCAAGAAGTGGTTTAACACTTTGGCCTTTCACGTCAGAACTACCACAACCACTGACAATGGCAGAGAGGAAAATGCTCATAGATGTCAGTATCTTGTAAACGGCTATCAAAAAGAACATTGAAATAAGTAAGCATCCAGTGAAGATGCTTATCACAAATAATAGTTACAGCTGCAATCCCATTTTCTACTTCTTTTAAATATAAACAGATGAAAACCAAGTTCATGAAAATGCATTTAGGCCAAGCTAACAAGCAAGTTTCCAAACTATGATTTGAAATGCGCTATGGCTGGATTATTTAATGATTTATTGTCTCTTACCCCACATAAACTGTCACTGAAATGTGTGAATATGCATGTTCAGGTGTCAAAAGTCTACTTAAACAAACTCTTTAATATTGAAGCATGTTGGTAAGATAGGAAACCCAAAACTTGCCCTCAAAGATTTGACCAAAGATTGCCTGAATAGTAATAAAACCATTTTAGTTTTCTTCTCCAGTTCCCTGAATTCTTGTCTAAGCCTGGAAACCTGGAATTAAAATAAGCACCTCCAATATTTTGGTTTGCATTTCCTAACCTTATGCTTATCCCGTCTTCTCCTTTTTGATTTTTTCTTTTCTTTTTCTTTTTTGCGTTTCTTCCGTGATTTTCTATGTCCTTTTTCATTTTTCTGTTTATCATCACCTTTTGAACCATGTTCTTTCACATCTTCATACGCTGCATCATCTATTTCACCATCTTCCAGCTCTCCATCTTCCCTGTAGGAAGAAAAATATCAATACAGTAAAATTACATGTTATTATCCATCTCACCTGTCCGACAGCACAGGAAAAACAAACACACCCACTATTTCTTTCCACCAGTTACATTTCTATACATGTACATATACTTTTTAACACATGTAACACCCCAAGCACTACTAGGATTTTAGAATTTTCTTTTAGAGAAAAATGGAATGCAAACCATGAAATGGCCTTGAATTGTACCCCAGAGTTAAAAAGTTTAAAAACTGTGTATTTTTCTTCCTTCTCAGAACAAAGGTCTTCTCTTCTTACATGTTTTCTCTCGCCTAGGTACAAAAACCTGCTGCAATATGGAGCACTGTGTTGCCCTTAAGCACATTTCAAACTGCAGAGGTCGTTTCACCATTTCTACAAACACCTCGATGCTATTGCACCCACAAGGTGCTGTACTTGCATAACAGAGGTGATCAAAATTAAAGGCAATTAAAACCCTCTGAAAACCATACAGTTAAAGAGCACCAACAATGAAAACAAGCAGTTGGGCGCTGCAGGAAAAACACATAGTAATACAAACATGTTTCCTCCAACACACCAGCTCCTGGAACTAAAGATGGGTCTGGAGTATTCCAGGTGTAATGGCCAAAGCCATGAGCAATTTGAAAAAGGAGAATTAATTTAGCGGTTAAGTGGATTCTTCAAAAGAAGTCAGTAGTAGTAGTGGACAAGAAAGGAGCAGTTAACGTTTGAATTTCATTTGCTAGACTCTAAAAACTGTCAGAAACCAGACATCCCATGATGCTATTTTTCTAAGCTACCCAGGGTGGGTTTTTTTCTTTTTCAAAATTTGTAACATTGACATTTGTAGGGGGTTGTTTCCTACACAGATAAATACTGTAAATGGAATGATATGCACGTGAATGTAACTTCCACATATGAACATGACGGTCTCAAAAAATCTTTGAATAGGAGTAACACCAAAGGATGATTAAAAAAAAAAAAAAAAAAAAAAAAAAAAAAAAAAAAAAAAAAAAAACACAAAAAAACCAAACCACAAAATGTAACATGGTGCTTGCAGACTAAATAACAGAAAGGCTTGTGTTTATCTCCATCATCAGGGGCAAAAAAGCGCTTCTATGATTATGTAAGACTTTAAATAAAGTTTTGTCTACTGACCCAAAGAGTAACAGCCCTGAAAATATTTTTCAAGGAAAGCAACATTTCAACAAAGCGCCAGCTAACCTATTTCTCACCCCTATTTCAGACAGACTGCTGAAGCAATCTCAGCTCCCCTATTTGCTGGTTTTGGTTGTGGAAGAATTTACTGCTTTTAAACATTTATAATTGGCTCTATATAATTATTTCTACATTACCACTACTTCAGGAATTCAGCCTTTGCAGGCATCATGGAACCTTATAGAAACACAGTCCTGAATTTTTACGTGGAGATTGCTTGAAAACACCATCAGCCCTAGGGTGTCCAAACCCCCCCCCCCATGAATGTACCAGATTCAGCAGATGGTGGGGGCAGCAAGGGGAGAAGCCTCTAAATACTGGAAAAAAATATATGTATATAAAAACCCCACCACTAAACCAAGGCCAAACTAGTACTGGGGGCAGTAGAAGGTATTAGGACAGAAGCAGTAATTAGGCTATATTAAATTGCCTTACAACTTGCCCACCTCAGTCCTGTATTCACAACGTTATTAAGCTCACCTGATGATCAACTCTATCTACTTCAAGGGACTGAGAATAGTAGGAAGGGGGAAGAACTCACCAGGAAGTGAGACCTGAGTCTCCACAGTAAAAAAACAGTGGTTAAGAAGTTAGAAGCAACCCCAAAGTTGTGACTTTGTCAAAGAGGAGTCAATGGATATGCCAGGGAGAAGAAAAGAGGAGAAGACACGACTGCTGTATTGTCCCCTTCTATGTCCTGGAAGGTCTTAGAACTAAATGCTCTTAGCAAACAGAATGCAAAAAAGAAAAAAACAAAACCAAACATAACCCCCCCCACCAAGATATGATTACACATCACTAACAAGCCAAAAAAATGGAATAAAGACACCCTTACATTCAGATTATCTACTCTCATAAAGGCTTTGGAGAAAAAAATTAAGGAAATCAAGCGATTTCAAGGTACCACTTCTTCATCTTTAATTGTCAACCATTGGTGGGATCCTACAGTGTATCTGCAGCAATCGCGACACCTTCCTATCACCTCCTGGCAGCCCACTGCCACCACGTCAAGGCAAGTCACATACATCCCAGCCTTGGCAAGATGCTCGAGAAGGGGACTCGAAGAACACTTCTAAGCAATGCACAAGGGCAGCTAGCCAGCGACTGAAAAAAACACTCTGGAATGTGGCAGAAAATAATCTTCTAGGCAAGTATTGAAGATCATTTAGTTTCGCGAAGTAGCATGAAGTAGCAGGACTGGAAAGGAGGAAGTTCCTAAGAAGCTTTCAAATGTCAAAATATTAAAAAGTGGGAATAAAAAGACAGATTTAACCTGATTATAAGATTCTGCTGCGGAGGGTGTCATTTAAAGACCATCATTCACACTGATGGGCAGTAAAAGGAAGTTCACAGCTGGTAGTGAGGGAACTTCTAGGACTTACTGCCACGGGCAGTTGCTGAAGCAGACAGCAGCAGCCGCAGAAAGGGACCAGACAAATTCACAGAAAACAAGGCCATTCAAGGAACGGCTGCTCCCTCCAGCACACTGAACACAACCGTGGATGCTAGGAAGACAAAAGGGAACTTAGGAAGAAGGTAGGAAAAACTGCTCAGCTATGTCTGAAGTTTAGCTACACTGCAAATGCAATAAGCACTGGGTTTGCTTATGACCTTAAACATTTACTTGAACACATTTTGAAAAGGACATTATTTTTTAGTGCAAATGTAACACAATAGGAAGCTATAAAGTCAAAGTTAGCTTTTGGACAAGTAACGGATATTAATAATAATAATAAAGGTATGCCCACTACCAAGTGAGCACCAAATGTGAGGCAGAGAGGCAGCTTCAGAACCCTCTTTAATGGGATTTTTACAAGGTGGTCACGGTCATCTGCTCATACACATCCTTACACTGCCTCGCAAAGGAGAACATAACACCAAGGTACTCCCCTGCTTAAGAAGAGCTAAAGAATCTTCAGAATATGTATCCCAAGCATAAAATAAATCCTGTCGTCAAACACCGCAGCGTCCGTTATCTCCAGCATTCCCTGACAAATTCTTAAGTACCTCATACAATATCCCAAGAAAGCATTTGCCACATCTTTCCAGGAGATACTTGATTAATAAAGTGTGCCTAATGCAACGCAAATATTTATGAAACATCTGCAGCTATTAGAAAAAACTATTTCTTATTTTGACAACGTGAGCTGAACTCGCTCTCTCAAGGATGTCTACTCAATTAAAATATCTTCTTAAGTAAAATGCCTGCTGAAATCGCTCTTTGGGAAATAAAGGTGTTCACCAGTTCCTTTGGGAACTGCTGTCATAGATTTACACTCTGGGATGCGTCCAGGACTCAAATAACTTTCTAGGTGAAACAATCGGGCAGCATCTCAGTAATGCTATCCTCCAGATTGCATTCCAAAACTAAGGTTACCAAAGTCCTCTAATCCCCAAATGCCTACATTCTTTCCACAAGATCCTAAAATTTTCCCAGCATTGAATTTCAAGAATATAACAAACAAAAACAAACAAACAAAAAATCCAACCAGATAACTATGATTTGGAAGTGAGTACAGAACCTACCCCTTTTAGAAAGTTCACTTCCTAATTTTATTCCACAGACTTGGCTATAGCAAGCAGCTTTGGGAAGAGCTTTTGGCGATGTGAACCAAGGCTACCTCTTTTTCCACTATGAGTAATAAAAGTCAACAAACAGATGTGGTCTGGAAAAAACACAGCTAGCAGATGATTTTCTAGGAAATGGGTCCCAGTCTTAGGTTGCTTTCTCTTCAGCAGATACCTACACCAGACAGATCACAACACTGATCTAGCAAGAGACAGTAAGAGCTCCTGGTTTGCAAAGTACAGCTGCTTGCTTACAGAATATTCTGGGTTTACACGAGATCTTAGTATGCTTCTATTATCACTGGAAATGCCTGACACACAACCCCCAACATTTTCTTGAACTAGAAAAGCATAGAAATAAAATTTTGTTGTCTTTTTCAAGATTCATGTCTCTTTCGACTACCCTACCCCACAAAACAGCACCCCACAGAAACAACCTTCACTGAAATAACGCCAACAAGCTCGGGGGGAGAAGTTTGCAATGCCTACGCAACGCATACCGCAGGAGTCAAAAAGCCTCTGCACTGAAGGAAGAAGCACTGGCAATTTTTAACTTCTGCTGCGTGTTGTTTTCTTGGATTCTATACTTGTGTTTGCAAAGGCTGAACTAAACCTGATGCATCTCCAGATTAACAGAAGTTAATCCCTGACCTATTACAGCACAGACCTGCAGTCACAGGAAACAGCAAGAGGTTCCTCACCTCTAACCAGAGATCTCAGCTAGCATTACCAAGCCCTTCCCACCCTAGCGCATTTAAAATCCTTTTGGAAGAGAAATAAAAGCATCTTCTTTAGATACCCAGTTTGAGTTGCTTAGCGGTGTGTGGCTAGCGCTGCCTGACCTACCGGAACTCCTTCATAAAGAACCCTGGAGGACCTGAATGATTAAAGTAAATTGCCATATGGCACCACTGCTTCCTCATAACCCAAGGGACAGCAATCTTGCAATCCGGAACGCAGGAAATGCAAAATTAAGTAACATCACCTAGACTCCACAAGCTAAACAAATCCTAACTGAACAAAAGGCAGCACGCTGGCCGTGATCTTTCCTATCGGCCCCTGCACAAGGACAAGGTACATACAAAAAAAATTTGGTTCATCTCCAAATCTGAGAGAAAGAACTAAAATCGCTGATGGATCACTCCTTTTTCTGCAATCTCCAGATACTTGGCGTTTGATAGATACGTGAAAACACAAGCATAAAGCACTTCCAC